ATCTTAAAAGAAAAAAAAGAAGAAGTTAAAAAAAAAAAAAAGAGACTCCACAGACAGATGGCTCCTTCTCCGCCGAGTGAGGATCAACCAAGAGGGGGCTGTCTCTGGAGCAGGAAGAGGGCTCTCACCAGGACCCGACCATGCCGGCACCCCGATCTCGGCCTTCAGCCTCCGGAACTGTGGCACCCAATCTGTGGGACTTTCTGATGGCAGGCTGAATGGACCAAGACACTGTCTTACATCCGATTTTAAGCAGATTTGCCTTCTTAAAAGATGGATGTGGCAGCATGGTGGGAGATGGATGGGAGGGGAGAAGGGGCAGAGAGGAGAGCGGGAAGGCTCTGGTCCCACTTTTGGGCCCGGGTGAGGGCACCATCAGAGCAGGCTCGTCTGCCCCAGAGTCAGCTGCAAGTGGGATCTGCCTGTCCTTGTAGGTCCCACCTTCTCCCCTTACCTGGCACAACAGCAAAGCCCCTCGCTGTCCTACACTTTCAGGAATTAAGGGCAGCTTCTAGTGTGGTATATAACCTGGGACCCTGCCTTCCTCTCCAGCTTCATCTCCCACGACACACCAATCACTGTCCTGACAGCACTCAGAGGAGGCCCGCCAATGTCCACCACGTGAGAGGACACTTTCGTCCTTTCAGCTGAGCGCTGCCCACTGGATCAGTTCCTCACACAACACAATCCTTTTTTGGAAAACACAATGCCAATGCTAAGCACAGCGTTTTGTTTTTAATATATTGACTTTTGAGCAAATGCATGAAATACATGATTTCATGTATTTGAATCATATCTTCAAGTAGCCAAGTTTGCTTATGTTAAAGAAACAAATTATTATTCAAACCATTAAAGAAAAAGCTATTCAATGACACCTGTTAAAGCATGGTAAGGCAGACTTCATTCAAGGGGGGGCCTTTGCGATGGGCACAGCGACCACTGCAATGAGTAAGACCCCGTTTTTTCTTGCAGTACGGGAGAGAGATTGGACTCAGCTCTGAATGCCTCAGTGAGAATTCATAGCCAAGGAGCAGGGTGGGTGTTGGTGGATGGAAAATTACTAAGAGGAGACATCAGGGTCAGCTAAACGTCAGGGGTTCTGGCTAAACCAACCTACCAGGATTCTTGCGGAAGGCAGGCCAAGAGGAGCAGATGTCACCTGGGGTTGGTGAGAGACAAGGAATCCCACTAGATATGGAGGGTAATCAGATATGGGGGACGTGGGATACTAGCGAAACCAACTTCGAAGGATTCTTGCTAAAATTGGACAATGCAGAGACAGACACACAAGTTGAAAAGGCAAGGCCCAGGTGAAATTCAGAGAGCCTGAGTACACTCTGGTGAAGGAAGGAATCTTTGTCAATTAATTATGGTGGCTTTGTCAAATAAAAAGACAAAGGCTGCGTTATGAATCTGCATTTTTTCCCCCTAGAGCTGTTTAGAAACAAGAGTCCTAAAGAAAATCTGCAATTTAATAATTATAAGAGTTGGGCAAAACTTGGGACCAGCCAATCAGAACACTGGCATTTGGGGACACTCACCAGACTCCCCCTTAGAATTCTCATAGTCACAGTTATCATGTGGCATGTTGTAGGGATGCATCGTCATATATTTGCTGGTTTATTTCTGTATAGCTACCTAAGTGTGTATACAGTCAAAGTAACCCTAAAAAACACAGTCATCTTAATTGAGGAAGGATGTACTCTAAGTATCCTATCATTGTAACCTATTTTATTTTCCTAGGCCTTAAGACTCTTTATGCAAATAAATCCCAAGGTTAAAAAAATCTAACAGTGGGTTGGAAACTAGGTCTGGATATTATTCTAAGCTCTGCCATAGGCGCCCAGTTTGTCCTTGGGCAAGTTCCTTAGCTTATCTGTGTCTCAGTTTCATCATTCCCAGAATGCAAGGTAAGAAAGAGTGATCCTCTCTCGTTATTATGGAGGTCAGGGCATGCTTGCACCCTTTTACGAAATGGGACGCCTCTTTCCTAGGAAGGGTGGAAGTCATTATCAGGGTCTATATCTTAAAGAAATAATTCGATTAAAAACAGGATGGTGTATGTAAAGAAAAATGGCTGAATTCTAGAGTGAACCAAGCTTGAAATGAGTTTACAGCATATTTCTCTTACCTTTTTGGTCCAAACAAGAAAGTACTGCTTAAGCTATTGAAATATGCTTTTCTGCCTCATCTAATAAGTTATAAGCTCCTAGACAGAAGACAGATTTTAAGTCTCATTTATATTTCCCATTCATTAGCAATTGCTCGCTGGATTGAAATACTTGCTCCATTCTCTGGCTTACTGTATCTGGAGCATTTCTCAATGTGTTTCATTCATCATTGTACCGCACAAATGTTTGTTGTATGAATGGATGACTCTGTGGTATGTTTATACCATAAGTTAACAATTCCCCTTTGTTAGGCGTTAGGTGTCTAATTTCTTGTTTTATTAACTAACGCTGCAATGTGCTATCTTATGCGTCAACGTTTTCCCAGACACCTGGTTACCTACTTAAAGTTGAATTACTGCGATTTAGAATTGTGTAAAAGAAAAGCAATAAACACAAGGAAAAAGAATATATACAAATAAAACAAATGACATGGTTATAAAAGTACTACAAGATCCATAAACGTTAATAGTGGTTATTCCTCGACAGCGAAATTTTTAATGACTTTCACGTATTACTCATAATCAGAAAAAAAAACTATTTAAAACAACTGAGTCTCGGTCATTGAAAGAGAATTTAGCATTTCCTTGCATGTAGCGATGTTTCTTTCTCAATATTTTCCCTGTCTGTTCTCGGAAACGTGCACTCCACCTCGCCCGACAAGCAGGCGCCCTAATTAGAACAGAAAGCGCGGGAGCTGGTCCCGCGTTCCCCGAAGCGCGCAGCTGTGGTCTCTGATGGTAACTAGCAGCCGTCTCCCGGCAGGCGCCCCATGGCATCAGCTGGGCGAATTACAGGCGCGCGGCCGAAACCTCAAGGGACCCGGCATCTTGCGTGCGGGAGGTGGGGGTCACAAACCCCAAACGTGCGGCTCCGGGGAGCTTTTTACAAAGGGGGAGGGGTTTCTCCCCGGAGCTCTCTGCCACTGGGCTGCCCTCCGCAGGCTGGTCAGGACACTGCCGGACCTGGGGTTTAGGCAGCGGGCGCGGCCGAGAGCCCACCCCACCCGCCAGGCCTGGGAGCCGCCTCAGCCCCGCCCCTTACTCTAGCCTCCCCGGGACCACTCCCGGTCCCAGGCCCGGCCGCTCCAAGCTTCTGCCCCAAGCCTGGCCCCAGCCCCCGCTGCTCCAGGCGTCAGCCGATGCCCGGCTCCGCCAGGCCCGGACCCTGCTGCAGGTCCCGCCCCCTGCTCCCGGGCCCAGCCCTCGCCGCTCCAGGCATCTGCTCCCTGCCCGGCCCCTCCGGGCCCGGTCCCTGCTCCATGTCCCGTCCCTACTCCAGGCCCCGCCCCTGCCCCCTGTTCCTGGCCCCAGCTCCCGCCGCTCCAGGCATCTGCTCCCTGCCCGGCCCCTCCGGGCCCGGTCCCTGCTCCATGTCCCGTCCCTACTCCAGGCCCCGCCCCTGCTCCCGGCCCCAGCCCCCGCCGCTCCAGGCATCTGCTCCCCTGCCTGGCTCCGCTACGCCCCGTCCCCGCTCCCGGCCCCGCCCCCTGTCCCTGGCCCCAACCCTCGCCGCTCCAGGCATCTGCTCCCTGCCGGGTCCCGCCAGGCCTCTTGCCTGCTCCAGGTCCCGCCCCCTCCTCCAGCTCGCGGTCCCTGCTCCCGGCCTCAGCCCCAGCCGACCCGGGCGTCTGCCCAAGCCCGGCTCCTCCAGCCCCGCCCCCCGCTCCTGGCGCCGCCCCCTGACGTCCAGGCCCCGCCCCGCCCCGCCCCCTGTGCGTGCTCGGCTCTGCAGCCGGCGGGACGCGGCGGCGGCGGCGGCGGCGGCGGGGCAGCGGCTCTCCTCTCGCTCCTTTGTGCTGCGGCGGCAGCCTCTCGGGCTCTCGCTCGCGCGTCCTCTCGGCCCGCCAGCCCGCGCCTTCCGGTGACACCATGTCGGCGGCAGGAGCGGGAGCGGGCGCGGAGGCGGGCTTCTCCAGCGAGGAGCTCCTGTCGCTCCGCTTCCCGCTGCACCGCGCCTGCCGCGACGGGGACCTGGCCGCGCTCTGCTCGCTGCTGCAGCAGACGCCGCGCGCCCACCTGGCCGCAGAGGACTCCTTCTACGGCTGGACGCCCGTGCACTGGGCCGCGCACTTCGGCAAGGTGGGCGCGGGCGCTTTAAGGCGCCATTTTCCGCGGCTTTCCTGTGGGGGTCTGGGAAGGTGGGATCTGAGGTGCTGGGGGCGCGGGGCGTGCCGGGAGCGCGGGGCGGAAGCGGGGTCGACGGCGCCCCGAGGGGCCCGGGGCGCATGTGCGGCGCTGCGGGCGCTGGGGGCCCCGAGGGGGCGCGGGGCGTGCCGGGAGCGCGGAGCGGAAGCGGGCCCGGCGGCGCCCTGAGGGGCCTAGGGCGCATGTGCGGCGGCGCTGGTTTCAAACGGGAGCGGCTGCCCGGAGGCGCCGGCTTCCCTGAGGCTCCACCCTGGCCGAGTAGGGCCCGCTTCGGGCACCGCGCCTTGGCGCCTGCCGTCGGACGGGAGTGCGGGTCCACCCACGGCAGCTGCGCGGAGGGCCCCGGGTCCCGCGGCTGGTGTGCGCGGGGCTGAGGAGGAGAGGCCCCGGGGCGGCGCCCCTGAGGGAGGCTGTGGGCCTGCGGGGCCCTGTCCCGCCGTGGGGGGCGCTGTGCGGGGCGCTGCGGGACTGTGAGGGGCACCGCGGGACTGCGGCGGTCGCAAGGCGTCTCCCGCGCGCTGACGTCGACGCGGGCGGCGCGGGCGCGGAGGTCGGGCCGTGCGTGCTGGAAGCGGCCGGCCGCGCGGGCACGACGTCTGCGGGGACGGGCGCGCTGTCGGCCGCAGGCTGAGTGCTGGCCGGTCGGGGGCGGAAGAACCTGAGTAAGTTGCGGAGGCGACTGTGTGCGGTGCGTAGGGACGTTTGGAGAAACGGCGTAAGGGCGTTTGTGTACGACGTTGTGCGCTTCCGACGTTCTTCGCTTGCTGGAGTGTAGTGAAATCGGTGGTGGTGGCGTTAAGAGCGTTTCAGCTGCTGTAGAGGGGTTGGATTGGGTAGATAATTTTCTTGTGGAGCCTCTACGTTCTCCTGTGTGTTTTTTTTTTTCAGTTATTTAAGAATTTGAGAACAGAGTGCTACTTTACGTTTTTAGAAGATTAGATAACGTTTTCCTCCTTTGTGCAGTAACTGAGGTTATCTGATCAGGGATCAGTCCTAAGAGGAGGCTCACGATGCGTTTCACAAGTGACTTTAGTGATTGGGATTTACGTGCCCAAACTTCGGGACGCTTAGAAGCGTTCTCCCTCTGAAATGACGGGTTTGGGTTGAGGGAAAGCGGCGGCTTTGCAGAAGCGCCCGCGGGGTGAGGTGCCGTCGGTGGTTCCGGGCAGCCCGCGCGTCTGAGGCCTGGTCCCGGCGGGGCGGCTGCGTGCGGGGCGGCGTCTCGAGTCCGCTCGAGGGGACGGAGGCGGGGGAGCGCGGGCGCCGGTGCCCGGCCCGCCTCGGTGCTGCTCGTTAGGCGGGGCCTGGCTCCAGGCGTCGCTTCTCGGCGTCTGTGTCCGCGTGTGTTCTGGGGAAAGACGCCCTTGTCACAGGCGCGGACACTTGGGGGGGGCGGTGAGCCCTGATCCCCCCGTGCTGGGTGCGAACGACGGTTGTAGGACCGTCTGGGACGTTCTGTAGAGTGTTAAAGCCTCCTCACGGACGGTCGTTTGGAATGTTCGTTTACCAACCGAAGGACGCCTGTAGGGGCTAAAAATCACCGTGACTGCCGTCGAACGCTGAAAGTGGTCGGTTTTCCGTTACGTGCGTCTGATGGCAAAACTCAGCCGCGTTCCGTTTCTGAGAGTCTCGGCTTGTCCCGGGCGTGAGTGGCAGGCCAGCCGTGGAGGCCCGGCGCTGTGGCCGGAGCCGGTGCCGCGGGGTTTCCGGCCGCGCCGTCGCGGGGCTGTGGTCTCGGATGCGGAGGGGCCGCAGAGACATCCTCTGGTCTGTGAGGAGAAGCGGCCGGCGGAAGTGGGCCGGCCCTCGGGCCGCGGCTGCCCCCGGCCCCCGCCTCTGCGCCTTTAAGCCCGCGCGGCTCTGAGGAGCTCCCGACTTCCCGCCTGTGCTCCTGGGGCTGTGCCCGCTGTGCGCAAGTTACCCGAGCTCTTGGGAACTTTGTTCCCGGAGGGCTAGACATCAGGATTTAAATCCTCTAATTATACCTTGCCTTTACAGGCTTTCACGTTGAACCGTGTATTTCCACAGTCCAGACCCAACTTCCTACCTTGAACTCAGAAGTAGCAGAGTTAAGGCCGGGGTGCTCTCCATGTTAAGATAAACCACTGTGGGCGTGCCAAGTGATTTTCATCCTTGTTTCGTTTTTGTTTGATTCGAGACTGTTCCTCTTGTGACTACTACTGGCACTTGGATTTTTCACTCAGGACGTTAATAAAGGCACCGTGTAAAAAGTATACCGAAGTCGTGTCTGTTTGTTAGCTGTCAGTCCTGGATTCAAGTCCCGTGAAGACAGGGGTCATGTTTTAAATGGCTGCACTCCGGACTGTGAGAGTTCGTGTCCCACAGGTGTTCTTGGCAGCCTTCTGTCCTTTGCAAGGAAAGGCCTGAGTTGCTGAAAGAGGGTGAGGGACTTGGGCTGAGATCAGAGTGTAGCTGTGTGTTCTTCATTTGAGGTCTGTCCTCTGCAAGAGAACTGTTGGCACTTAGAGCTGTTTGACTGACTGCCTCCTGCTTCGGGCGGGGAAGCGGGGCAGCTCGGGATCCAGGATTTGAGGACAGCAGGCCCTCTCCGACAGCGCGTCGCACATGGTAGGCGCTTGCTGAGTACTTGGTGAGTGTGATGAATGCTTTGATCCAGAGGCTTGTGCAGTGTCGGTGCCTGGCTGCAAAGTCTTGTCTTGACTCGCATCTTCCTCGCAGTCACCTGCTAGGCGCGGAGCTCGCTGTGCTCTGGGCTTTTCACGTCGGTGGGGGCATTCTCTACAAAGAGTTTGAAAGGCTAAGTGCTGCCCTCTCACTTACGTGACACATCTTTTCCCTAAGAAAGTAATTTGGATGCTGGGCCTCAGCTGAGTATCCAGTGGATGCTGTGTTGCCAAACGGGTGCGTAGTACAGTTGTGCGAGCTGCGGAAACAGTCTTTGAGAAGTTTCCTGTGGCTACACAAGCCTTTTTTAACCCACCAATTACTTTAACATTTTTATTGTTTAGAATAGTGTGTGAAAGTGACAAAATCTAGTTTTGATAGAAGTCTTTGAATAATGCAATCTAATCTTTTCTGATTTTGGCTTTTTCAGTTGTGGGAAAAACAAAATAAATTTGTGTAGTGTCAATCTTTTTAACTTCGTGTCCTATTTACCAACTTTTTTGACAGGGACAAGGAAAAATATTCTTTTAAATGTTTTTTCAAATTTGTATGGGATTGGGAAGGAATGACTGACTGTTCCCCAGGACAGAAAAAAAGTTGGTAACCGAAAAGGCCATGTCTCTGTTACAAAATTTAGGTTATTTGTGTAATTAACAGTATACCGACATTTATGCATGTTTCATTCCCCCCCTGCTCTTTTTGAAGTTGGAATGCTTAATACAGTTGGTGCAAGCTGGAGCCACGCTTGATGTCTCCACCACCCGTTATGCGCAGACCCCAGCCCACATTGCTGCTTTTGGGGGACACCCTCAATGCCTCATCTGGTTGATTCAAGCAGGAGCCAGCATTAACAAACCGGTAAGGGAGTGTGATGGTCGACTTGGTTTGTTTTGTTTTCTTTTTCCACTTATGATTACATGGTGTTGTCTTAAATTGAGGCCTTAATTAGAGTTTGATATATTTATGTATGGGCTAATGGGAATTTGTGTTTATTGAATTATTTGTGGGTAATAGGAGTTTCCCATAGCAGTGCTTTCACCTGTTGTATGACTGGCTGTGACCCGCAGCCATCCAAGGCAATTTGCCCACGGTTACAGCTGCCAACTAAAGAGTATGGCCTTGAGCCCAGGTCTCCTGGCTCCCCTGCTCGCAGCTGCCTTTGCTGCTTTTCCACAGGTGATTGTGAAGACACATCCGTGCTAGCAAAAGAATGGCTCTGACATCGTCTCTGTGGTTAGGTTAGCATCAGCAGATTGACCAATGTGAGTTAATGCTGCTTCAGGTACACGGTGGGGGTGATGACAGATGCAGATAAGTAGCCAAGTGTTGTGAAGGAAGTGACTCTCAGACGCCACATGCAGGGAGTGTGCATTTAAGTGCGCAAACATGAACATGAGAGTGCCAGTTTTTTCATGTAATTTCAGTATTCTTTTCACTTTGGTGGGAAAAAAACACAAGAAGAGTGTTTAGCTTACTGGGAGCTCTCTTCCCTAGACAGACGTTTGGTGTAGAAGACTCCATGGATAGTCTGACTGGAGCAGCCCCAGATTTAGCCCCCTGCCGCGAGGGTGGATTCCTCAGAGGGACTTATGCCTCTGGCTTTGTACCTGTTCTTCATGCCTTTCTACTTTTCTCTTTCACTTTATCCTGTTTTTATATGCTTTTTCCACTGATATCAAGAGACTGCTGTGTGCAGAGGAACTGTTATTTCCGCCTTTCTGCTTTTGTCTTTCCTAACATTCACCCCCGGTCATAACCAGGTATAAAGTAGTTGCAAGCCCCTCTCAGGAAGATAACTCAGCTACCCACCTAAGAAGCAAGTCGTTGAGGAAAGGGGTGTTCAGCAGTGGGTCAGTGGGAAAGGGAAGTGAAGGATCAGAGGGCAGTTTGTTCTCAGTAAAAGACTTGTAGGAGAGAGGACGGACGGGGAGAGCCCTAGATTTTAGGCCTGTTTCTGTTACAAAACTGGAACTCGGGAGGTGGGACAAGTTAGGCTTCCCCTGCTGCCCCTTCCTCTCTTCCTTCAGCCTCCACGCACTGAATCTTTGTGTGTACGTACTTCTCTGCCGCTTTGCGGCTTTTATCCCTGTGCTCAGAAGTCATGAATGGGCAGCTGTGCACTGTTATTTCACGAGGCATTGCCTGTCTCTCCACTTGTCTCATTCCTGGTCCTGCATCCTTTCCTCCTTTCTCCTGGTAGAGGGCACCTGGCTCAGCCTCTTCATCTCTCTGGCCTTCGGCAAGTCATTTACTTGATCTGTGGCTCAGTCTCCTTATCAATAAACTATGCATAATCCATGAATGGCAGTAATTAATATTTAGTATTAATATGTAATTTAAGTATAGAATATTCTTCTTTTTGTTTTGAGGAAGATCAGCCCTGAGCTAACATCTACTGCCAATCCTCCTCTTTTTGCTGAGGAAGACTGGCCCTCAGCTAACGTGAGTGCCCGTCTTCCTCTACTTTATATGTGGGACGCCTGCCACAGCGTGGTTTGCCAGGCAGTGCCATGTCCACACCCAGGATCCAAACCGGCAAACCCCGGGCTGCCAAAGTGGAACGTGCGCACTTAACCGCTGCACCACTGGGCCAGGCCCTAGAATATTCTTTATGTTAATTTTCATTAAATTGTTACATATCACCTAATTTAGAGAGGTCTAATGAAATTGTCTAACAGTGCTTTTCAGACCTTTTTAAATGTAGAAGCCTCTTTTTAGTATAGTGTTTTGTAGCAACTCAGTATTTTCCACAGAGAAGGTTTGCCACTCTGCCCCTCCCTTCCTCCAAGCTGCTCTGCATGGAAATCTCTGAACCCTGCTCCCAGATCCCACTCTCTCCACGGCCCTCCTGTGTGTAAACTGCCCAGCTGGCTCAACATCCTGAGTCTGCTCACGTACAAGGGGTCGCTTGTGTTTCTTAAGCATGCTGGCGTTGCTCCTGAAAGCGTCTCAGTGCCGTGCTCTCGTGCTGAGCTTCAGTCTGGGTCTCAGATGTCGTCTTGCTCTGTTAGCTAGCAGTTGGACTGCTGTGATGGGCACGCAGTGACCCCTAAGGTCCCAGGAGCCCTTTTGTTGGCTCCCCCAACGCAGTGTTGACTCATCTTGAGGTAGACAGTTTTTCTCACTTCCTACATAAGCTGTTATAAAATCAGATCCAGGTGTTTTTTATTCTTTTTTTGTCTGTGTATGTGTAATATATTTGAACCCAGCGTAGTGTTTCTTAATAACATTTTGTTGATTTTAACTCATCTCCTAGTCTTAATTTTTTGGCATATTAGTTACTAACCATTGTAAGTTCATTTTCCTCGAGTTTCATAGAGACTCTGCCATTGCTAAGGTCAGCGTAAGGGGCTACTGGAACTCAGATGTACTGTCTACAGGCTCTGTGTTCTAAGTTTACCCAGAGGAAGTTAGTTTTCAAGTGATTTATTTTTGGTGAGTAACTACCCATGGGGATCACTTTTTTTAAGTGTTTGCGAGTCATCTCTTTCATCCCCCTTTTGTTGACATTTGATGTTGCCTTTAGTTTCTTGTAACTAAATTAGAAATAAGGTTTTTCTTTCTTAAAATTCAAGGTGACTTGTCTGTCTTCAGATTTCCAGCACCTCTTCCGCTTTATTACTCAGTTTGCCAACTATAGTTCTAGACTCATACTACAAACAGTTTGGTATTTTTGAAATGTGACTGGTCTGAGCTTGAGATGTGAGTAACCTTAAAATGGCTTTTTACTCTTACTCTCTTAGCTGCAGTGTCCTTGAAATAGTGTTTGTTATGCCCTTCCCAGCTTAAAGATGTTCTCCTTGTATAACACAAAACAAGAGCTGGGTAGTTTTGCTTTTTCTCTGTCATCTGGTGTATCCTACCTTCTGCTTGAAATAGTAGAGAAAACCCTTATTTTTTCTTCTTGTGCCAGAGATAGCTGTAGAAGCGCTTTTTTGTTTTCTTGAGCTTTTTTTCCCTCCCAAAACCTCATCTAAATCTCACTTCTGCTTTTCCTGGCAGTACTTGTATGTAATTTTTATTTGTCCTTATTATGTACCTTGTCTCTCTCCTACCCCACTTTTTGGGAGGTATGGGGTAGGTTTTTGTTTTTTTAAAAATCTAAGTTCACTAGATAGTTCCCATACAGCCACATGGTTTTCTGTTTCTTTCTTCAAAAATGGGATTATTCTGTTTAGAACTTTATATCACTTTTGAGCTTATTTTTAAGTAAATACATACACTTTTCCCTCCACTAAGCAGTCGAGTCTTTCATATTATATTTTCCTGTAAAATAATCTATCACTCTTTCTTTTTACTTTGGCCTTCACCTCCATTTTTTCCGCTGTGAGTTAACATGCATTGGTGAAGGACTCAAGTATCAACTGAATTTATAAACTGTTTTCTCAGCACCACGCACTGTGTACTGTGGCCTCACTCCTGTTTTATATCTTTGTCCCTGAATTGTGTGTAGCCATCTACTGCCAAGTTCAGCTTCCAGTGATGTGGAAGTGTGATTGATTCAGGAACTGTTGCTGCTTAGCCAGTCGGAATTACCCAGGCAGAAAGTCCTAAATCAGTTTTTCTAACAGAAATGACTTCCTTCTCTTGATTGCTGTATCTTTCTTTACCTCTTGTTTGTTTGAGAGCCTGTGAGTGAAACTGTATTTCAGATTTTTTCCATTCCTATGGTGTAAGCTAATTCATCGTTTTTGAATAGCGACATTAGTCTCCAGAGTCATTTCCTTGAGTCGCTTCCTCCACCTCTTCCAGCCTTGTTTTCTGAAGCAGAAATCTGCTTCTAATGTAGCCTTCCTAAATGTCCTTGAACGAAGTTGTCCATCACAAACAGCCTGAGTTGTATACAAAGCTGGCTTTTTGATGCTTCTGTCCTCTCTTCTCATCTCTTCCTGGCCTTAAAGTTTAACACCAACCGTCTTGTCCAAAGTATCGTCCTAATTCCAGTTCAAGATAAGAAATCCCAGGGAGGCATTGATGATGTGTTGACTCAGGCCAGCCTTGTGGTAGACTAGGTGAACATGGGTAGCGTGGACCAGACATTATGTGCTGTTTCTTGGCCTTGATTACCTTTTGTTTTTAAATAATTTGTCGGAGGATAGTTATTTGGGGTTTTATATACAACACATTTGTGCTAAGATCCAGCATAAAATGATTTCTAAACCGCCATCTAGAGTGTCTGCTGTCACAGCTGGAGAAGCCCCATGGTTTTTTCTTCTTTAAGAATTCAGGAGAAAGTGCTCCTTCCCTGGTCTGCTTTTATTTTCTCTTTGTGTTCTGCTTCAAATTTGGCTCACCATATTTTATTTCAAACGTGAATGTGTGGTGCATGATCTATGTTAACTATTTTACTTTACAATGTAGAAGTCTTGTTGGATCTGTATATTTGTGCGTGTCACTTTTTGTTGTTTCAGGACTGTGAGGGTGAGACTCCCATTCACAAGGCAGCTCGCTCTGGGAGCCTAGAGTGCGTCCGTGCCCTGGTGGCCAACGGGGCTCACATCGAGTAAGTGTCTTCAGTTATTCCTCCCAACCAAAGCTGTAGTTAGAGGTGTTGTGTTTAGAGACAGTATTTAGAGCAAGCAAAGGTCCTGACCTTTGTTTGTAACATCATTAATAGAATTTTGCTTTTTAGATCAGTTGGCCTTAGTGAGCAGAACTGTTGCGTGGGTTAAGTTGACCACTAGCAGAAGGGGCCCTAATTTCACAGCAGCCTCAGAATTCTTGCTGTGAGAGAGAGCATATTAGGATGGAAAGAACAGTTACCTATTCAGTTTGGAACCTGGCATTGTTGACTTTGCCACTGACTAGTTGTGTCACTGTGGTCAAGTCTTCAAACTTTTCTTTGCCAAGTTTTAATTTTGAAACCAGGGCCTGGAATTGAATTAGAATACATTTCCAGGCCTCTTTGGCTCAAAAACTTTTTCCACACAATTGGCTCTTCTAAATTTTTATTTCCCCATCTTTCAGCAGATGTGAGATTGTGTTTTAAAGCCTATTATGACTTTTAATGATTTATGGCGCCTTATAAAATAGATCTGTATACATTAAAGACTTAAACTCAGTCTGAGCTTTTGATACTGATGGCGTTATTTTAGAGTATCCTTGTTTTAGCTTAGTTTACATCAACTAGCTTATTTATGGTTTGATAGAACAATATTTAAACGTATTAATCTAAAAATGTAAACTTGTATGCAAATCATTAGCTAGCCATGGCATTATACATTTATTTTAGGTATTAAATTTATTTGTATTAACTTTCTCTTAAAGATTTATATTATAAAAATTTTTTTCTGCAGTTACAGCATTAACAAAATGGATGTGGTTTTCACCCTTAAGTGTTGAGTGTAAGCTATAGAGCTGTAATAACCAAAATAACTATGATAATATCAGCTTTTTTGTTTGACCTTGTCTTGAATATTTTATAAAAATTAATTACAAACCACTTTATTCTAATTGGAAATGTGAAAATTTAGACTTTGGGAGAAATAAAACCCACAAAACTAACTTAGTTTAACCCTTTGGTTTCCACTTCATTGTTTTGACTCTGTCTTATAATAAGTATTGAAAAGAGATCCTGGACAGCAAAACTGTATAGGTTAATGCAAGGCCTGTCTAGTACCAGGGCTGTCATTAGGCTCTTAGTATCTTGGCTTCTGTTTCATTAAGTATTACGGTTCAGATCAGTCATTAGTTTGGGCTTGGATCATTTACTTCTGTAGCAATTGAGTATTGTAAATGTGACCTGTGTTAACTGTTACGTTGCAGGGAGCCTTGTGACTGCATATGTAGTTATGACTTAAGGTAATGTAAAAACAACTGATAATGTGAATATTTATTACGCAATCTCTAAAACATTGAGATGATTCTCAATGGATTGCTTTAAAGCAAAGTTATAGATGCAGTTTTCTTAGCTATATTTAGATTAAAACCTCAAATCTTTGATTTTAATAACAGAAGCTTTAATTACAAAATACAGAGTCATAAAATAATTTATTTAAATTGCTTAATTGTCATTTATTGAAATAAAGAATAATTAGAAGTTGATCTATTTAATAACTTATTTTTCTAAGCAAAACTCTAATTGGTCCTGAACATTTTATTACTAAGATGTTAGTTTTACTCATTTTAATGGATAGCTTAATCCTTTGAGCCAATAAATATCACTGTGTCCTTTTTTTAATAGGTGTCTTTTTTTAAATGACATCATTTTGTTTACAGTTCTGTCCTTGGTTACAGGACCCTCGAGTGTCTCTTTTCCACCAAGTGTGACTGAGCATGGCCTCAAGTGCCAGTCTGTTTTTCCTTCTCAGTATAAGAGCCACTCTCTCAAGACCCTGCATTATGGTGATTTCCCTTGACTGAACTTTGAGATATTTTTTAGAAGAAATATTTAGCCTGAGCCACTTAGCCAAAAGCAATTCTTAAAATTATGAGTCTTTGGCCTAGAGATGGAGCACAACTAATCGTTATTTATTACTATTGTGTATGTGATTATTTTGTTTTAACATCTAGATGAAATGTCAGTTTTTGCCAGGAAGCTACATTGTAAATTGCTTTTTGATATCTGTTCAGCATATTTTTATAGTATTAACACTTTTAGTGTACCAACAAATAATAGTTTGATTCCCCCAAATTATGGTTCTTAGATCTATTTTACTTGTTTTCTATTGTACTACTCATATGGTAAAGTATAGTCCTAGCAAATAAAATGCCTTTTTCTTTTTTTAGGAAGATCAAAGGGCACAGAATCTATTTACTTACTTAAAGTTACTTATTTTTTTCCCAGCTCAGAATGGGCCAGATTATTAATTCTTCATGTTATATACTGTAATATTTAGGAGATAATATAAATTTTTCCTTTCCTGTGAATAGATTAAAAGGTGTCTCATATCCATATTTTATCACACTTGGTGGTAATTAATAATTTTGTTATTAATTCCTACTTTGCTTTTTATATATATGCTACATGAAGTGGCCAAAGTCTTAAGTTGCTGCGTTTTTTGGTCATTGTGTAGATAATGAGGAGGGCAAGTGTACACTGCGTCTGTGGCTAGAATGGTTTGTTATATAACTTACTTGTCAATGTAGGCCGCATCTGTAAGATAACGCATGTCAGCTGCTGTGCATCGTATTACATTTTCTAGCACCACACGTGAGTATGTTGATGGAGTTTCTTTTTCTTCTCTTATTTTACATCTTAAGTTTTGGTGCCAAGTTTTCTTTTTCATGTGAGATTTTGTTTCTGCTTATATGATGGTCATTATCATTTGCCATTGTTTACATCTAAAAATAAAAAAGATGAAATGTCAGTTCTGTGACCAGACTAAATGTTTGTATACTTTAAATGATCTAAACCTCTACAGATGCTTCTCATTCTCATTTTTTCTCAAGTAGGTCAGGTACGGAGGTTTCATTAAGTAAGTTAAAATTGTCATTATCCTTAATTTTGTTTATATGACAGTTTAATTTTTCATCGCAGCCAGTATTTGAGTGCTGCTTGCTTCACACTTAAGATTTTTGGTTGAAAGAAGGGCATATACTAACATGAAAAAGTTGTTCCCTCATTTTTCTTTTGGATGATCAGATAAGTAACAATATAAGATTACGTCTTAATGTGATACCAGGAAAAGACTTTGGAAAACTTGTTGACTATCTGCTAATAATTAAGAATACCTTTTTACCACCGATGCTGTAGAGTGCAGATTTTGAGCCTTGGATTATCTTTACTTTCAGTATTTTGGCACTGATTAATTTTAGTTACTTTGTCTTTATTTTCTTGAGAGAAGAGCGGAGACTGTTTCCATATCAACCAGATACTAGAGGTTTTTTAATGCCTCAGAGTGGAAATAAAGGGATTTAGCAGGCTTGAGAGTGAAACCAGAATTAACTTGCAGCTCAGGCAAATTTGCTAGTCCATTTTAATACCACATTGTACAGGTGCCAGTGTTTAATTAGGTCATGACGGAGTCTTAGAGGAATTTCATATAGTCTCATATATGAAACTATATGAGTCAAAGTCTCATACAGTTTCTATAGGAGAGCAATTCTGTAGAAGCCATTAATTCTGTGGTAACCAGGTCTTCAAATGGGTTACATAGATTTTAACTTATTTTGATCCCAAGAGGAGCTTCACCGTGGTCATTATCTGAAGAAGCATCTGTAGCCTTGTACAGTCATGCGTCGCTTAGCAGTGGGGATGTATTCTGAAAAACGCCTTGTTAGGCAGTTTTGTCATTGTGAGCATCACAGAGTACACTTACACAAAGCTGGGTGGGATAGCCTCCTGCACACCTAGGCTACTTGGTGTACTAATCTTATGGGACCACCATGGCATATGTGGTCTGTTGTTAACTGAAATGAACCGTCATTATGTGGAGCATGACTGTATAAGCAAGTTCAGTGACTCACTCTAAAAAAAAATCTTTCTTGCCTAATTTAGAAAACAAGCACAGTTGGCTGTAATAACCAAAGTCTAAAATGTGGTCTTAATATAGTTTTTTTTGCAGCGTTAAGAAAAGTCTATTGCTGAACTTTTAAAAAATCTTAGTTGAAATGGAGTTGGTTTGGTTTGGTTCCTTCCTAATTGGTGGCCACCCTTGTGACTACTCTGTTTGCTCACCCCTGGAGCCCTGTCTGGAAACAGGATTTCCTTAGAGTATACCCTGTGAGGAGCACGTTTTGCACTAGTGTCAGAAGTTTGCTTGCAACTTTTGCCCTTGGCAAAATATAACCCAGATTTACTTTATTAGCCATTCATTCATGTTTGAAATTCATGGTTTCTTTTCATTTGTTCACTTATTGGCCCTTGAGGATAATAGTCCAACTCTGAAATTAGAATTATAACTCTAAAGTAGTAGTTTCTGATTGGGATCCTCTGCATTCCAGTCTCCTTGCCTCCTGGTGCTGCCTCCCTTACCTAATTATCATGACCGCAAACTTGTCTGATCTTGCTATTTCCTGGCTCTTTTTCCTTTTATTAAAACGTTAACAGGCACGGTGGAGGAATTGCTTCATGAGATAGCTGTTGAAGTCTGCCTGCCAGACAGGAGCAGATGGTGGACTGACAGTATTCTAGAGTTGTTGACAAATTTAGTTTAGAATTTTGATTGTTTTTCATAACAGCTTGATTATATAGTTTTAATATTTGTTTAACCACTCCTTTTATAACTAGTGCTTTCAAGTAAAACCAGTGATTTCTAAATCTAATTTTCTCTTCCCTTTGCTAAATTATAGTAGGAGCATGTTAAGTATTTCATCAGACTCTTTGAATGATACTGTTACATTTTAATGTATGCAAACATAATGGGGGTTCAGTTGCAATGTAAAACTATCCTCAGTAATGTTGAACTTGAAATGAAAACTTGGCACCAAATTTATTCAGGTAGAAACTTTAAAAAATAGTTTCTTCCTATTGTTACCTAAAGAATATATTTAAGAAAGTTTTCATAATTATTTAAGAGTTTGGATACCAAAGGGTTAAAAATAAACACATGTTTTTCTTTT